GTCTCAAAAGAAGGAAAGCCATGTGTGATTGGTTTTACCACATCCACTGTTGTCTTTTTGGTATTTAGGCTGTTGTGAGGTGTACAGAAAGCCAACACAGGCAGCACAAAGGTCAGGGTGTCAATTTGGGTAGGTGGGAGGAATTGGATTGTGTTGGCTGTATTTTGGTTTTTGTTGGGGAAAACACTACTTTCAGTTCAGAAAGCAGGTTTCTCGGCAGCTAAGTTGGGCTCTTGTTCCTGAAGTAGAATACTGAAGACATAAGTGAAGGTTGGTTTCTTTGTGCATTTACTAAACAAGCAATAAGTAACACCTTATCTACTTCACGACGTGACCAGTCCCATTTCCACACACTTCTGATTTGATCTGTGTTAACAGAACACGAGTTCCAGACAAGCAAGCACAGAGTGTCTGCCTTGCTGGATTCCTTCTTTAGCCTGTGAAACAGCATATGTTTGTTTTGGCTGTCTCAATGTGGTATTTTTTGCTCACTGGAAAAGCTGACAATGTTTCAGCCTCTGCACTGTTTTTCTCTTGTTTTTTGTTAAACTTTTCACCTTCCCCTTTCTTTCCTAGACCAGGGGGATGGGAGGCTGGGGTGTCCATTGCTTTTTCCAGAGTTTACCCATAAATTTATTCCCATCAGCCTGTGGAAGTTGGCTAGATTTTTATGTTCTTTGGTTTTCTCAGTTCCTGTGCTTTGCAAGCATAACCCAAGTGCCTCCTGCACTGGACTCCATTTTAAACTGAATTTAACATAAATATGGAGTAGACAACAACTTTCTGGTCCAAAGAGAAATCAAGTGAGGTCAGTTAAGCAGTTTATTGCCACTATACCTTGTTAAGCCTTTGTTGCAAGCAAGATAGGTAGTTTGTGTCCCGCAGAATGGATTGGTCTTTTCCACCTAAAACAATTTCCTGCACTGTGTCAGCAATGCTGTGGTTTAACACAAGGGAAGTTAAAAAAGTTAAATACACTGAGCTGTGTAAATAAAGTACCCTTCCCATTGAGAATGAAGTCATCCCTATGAAGAAGTGTGGCAGAATCTTAGACTTATTAAGCAATAGAAGAAAGCTGATTAAAGAATGGTCTCCAATCTAAAGTTGTGAACTGATTTTCTGAAGCGCAGAGTCCCTGCTTGAGTAACTGAATGAACTGGCTGGACTTGGAAATGAGAGAAAGTGCTGCATATATAATTTTAAAATAAACAAAGCCAAAGCCTGGAGGCGTCAAAGAAGCACTGGGGAACAATTTCAACATCTAAGCAGGATTTTTTGCATGTTTAACTGTTTGAAACCTGGACCCATGTATTTTCATTTTAGCATGGAAAAAAAAATGTTAAATCATTTTATACACTACCTTTGATCAAAGTTTTGAAATGGTGTCAAAATCAATCATAAGAAAACCTGGGATTGGGGAGGTAATGTTTATTTTTAAATAAAAAGGTATCTTTTTGACATACAGAAGGTTTATTCCTTTTAGCATCATACTTGAAGTTTTATCACCTGTTATTCAAAGAATGAGCAAGTGCTGAAGCCAGTGTAAAGGATGTAACAACGCAGCCCACAAGAGGCCAGTATGTATTTAAATTTTGAACTATTCAAAGCTGTATTTGTGCAGTGTAAAAGGACCCAGGCATCTTCCTGGAATGCAACAAGCTATGCAACTTCGTGTGAGCTGAGGGACACAGAAAGGTCAGTAATGGTTGTGAAAGTTTCTGTGGTAGGAATAACCAGGACCTTATCAGCTGGGATAAAAAGCTAACATTAACATAAACATATATTCTCAAGAATATCAAAATACTTTGTGTTCTGTGGCTGTGGTCAGGCAGGGTAGAAATTGGCTGTGTGAGTCCAGTACCTTTAGACCCACATCTGCTTTGCTTTTCCTTTCCTCCCCTTACAAAGAAAGCAACCTTGTAAAGTATCGCTCCAAAGTGTCACCTTCAAAAAAACTCTGTGGCCTAGGATGAAAATTTCAATCAGACAATAGAAATCTAAGTAGAGAGAATTGCATTTTTGAGGTGAAAGGGGGAACTGTAAAGGTGATGGTATGACTTTTAAGCCATGTCACTGTAGCTTTTGTAGGATTTGAAAATCCAAATCTGAAGGCATGCAGAGCAGTGAGCCAAGCAGCATCCTGTCTCATTTTAGCACTGGGTGCTGCTGCTGTGGATTTGTCCCTCAATAGCTGAGGGGCAATTCCATAGCATTCTCTTCTAGTGCATCTGGGTGTAGGGTAATTTCTCTTCCTAACCAGCCCAAATCAGTGCTGTCACCAATACCCATGATCGTTGGTGCACAGGAGTGAAGGGGTCAAACAGGACAGTGAGAGAAGGTGGCAAAGGGGATGGAAACACCCTTGGGCAGACCAGGCATAAGGAGACAGAGTATTTGTGTCTCATACAGGCAGGCTGGAGGCAATAGCCAGCTCAGCATGGGGATCAGGGTACATATATCCTGTTAAGGAAAAGGATCCCTTTGGGGGGATGGCCCAAAACAGAGCACTTTTGGCATATCTGGAATTCCTGCTGGCAACAAAGCAAACTCTCAAGGTCATATGGTCTTAACATTGTCTTTCCTGTGGGCTGTATCTTCTAGGTTGCCATACATAATCCTAATTTTATCATTTGTGCCCCCCAGATTTGGAAAGGCTTTTGGGTTGATTTTCTTCTGCCCCAACATCTTTCAGCAGCATAAACAACTGTCAGAGGCTACAATTCCTTACTGCATCTGTCTTGTCACAGAATAATTTTTAAAACTAGAGAGCTGCAGTTTCTAGATGACTAATACTCATCCCTCAAGGACAACAATCAAATAGCCCAGTTTCCCCAAACTGCCCTTCACACATGGACCAATCTTGGATTATCTTGGCTTAAAGCAGCCTTGTTACTGTCTTGTCACTGCAGTGAGGACAATGACCCAGTTCCCAGTCACATGCACCGGGAGCAGGTAGGGCACAGGTTCTTGTGGAATTCACATATCCCTCTGTATGTGATACACTTAGGAGGGCTGCAGAGGTCCTTGGTTAGAAACAAGTGCAGTGAAATCGTCCAAATTAATAAGATGGAATAACTCAGGCTGGTAGTCAAGTTTCTTTCAATATTCCTGGTGTAAAATGGAGACATTTTGCTGCTAACCATAGAAAAATAACTCTGCTTCAGAGTGGTGCTCTCAGGGAGCTTTAGAAATTGGTATTCAGGGACAGCTCCTTACTGGTCAGTTTTTAGGGAAAAATCCAAACCAGTTTTACTTGAACTTAACAACTAGTTAATACTAAAATAAACTCAGTGGCTTCATTCTGATAGAAAAATGTAGCTCTTTCAAGCTTTCTGCAATTAAGCAATTTAAAGCAGAAGGATCTGTCCTAAATTATGGACATTTACCTAGACATAGGGCATGAGCATTACTGAAGAGTTTAATGTAGCTTGTGCTGAAGAGAGTCAGTTCTAATGGGCTTTTTGATCCATCCAGCTGTGAAGCCTTCTTGAATGACACCTGACATTGAGCACCTTGCAGCACTCCTGCACAGCAAGGCAGCTCAATTTGCTCATTGTCTAGGTGACAAGATATACACAGAGAGCAAATTACTTGCCCAGAATCCTGCAGGAAATCAGGAAAGAAGTGAGGATATGATCAGCAGCCTCCTACAGATAACTAGAATTCTTCCTTCTGCACAAACATTTCTCTCTGAGGAGTTATAGGTGATGAGCGGTTCTCTGTGTAGCTTTATGTTTTGGGGCTTCTTGTGGTATCCACTCTTTCCCATTCCTGGTAAATAAATCTTGCAAACAGTACCTTGCTGTTCACTTAATTCACATACTTCTTCCCCAACCAAAGAAGTGTTTTCCAGGAAGTCTTCTGCCTTGTTGGAACATTGTAGCATGCTGATGTGCTCCTTTGAGATCTTTGCTGGAGAAAGCCCTCCTGAAAAGGAGGGGAAACCTTGTCCACTGAAAAAACCCGAGGGTGAGTAAAAACTATTTTTTCTGTAAGACCAGTCACTAATACATGCCAATAACTGCCTGTATTTCCAGGTGCTCTCAGGTATATTCACAAACCCCATGCAAAGAAATACAGTCTGTTATCTTCCATAACCAGAAGAGGGGTAAACAAAAAGAGGTGCAAACTGCAGTTACCTATATCCATGCTCACTGTTTTTAGAGATTTTTCATGGATCAGTCAGATCAGTAGGAAGGCTGCTGTTCATTTAAGCTGCTGAAAACTTGTCCTTATTGATTTAAATGCAGCAGTTCTTGTTATGCCGCACTCATGATTGAGTGATTTGGCTAGGGCTGGAAGAATGTGACCTTTAATGCATAAGTAAATAAGCCTTTCCATCATGTATAATCTCTCCCATATGACAGATCTGTGACTGTCTAAAGTGACAGAAAGACTGTATGAGTCTTTATTTTTTGAGATATATTATCACAAAAAGTCACAAATCATTCCTGTCAGTGTGCAGAGAGCTGCTAATGAAAGAATTTCATTCCAGAGTGATATCTGTGATGGATGTAAAGTTGTAAGAAGTACAGTAAGTAAAATAAAGCAAGGTTAATCTAATCTCTTCCATAAAGCAGACAGGGAAAAAACTGTGATTTAAAATAAACTCAAACAGAGAAAGTAAGTAATAGGTCATTGTTCCATTTCACTCATTCATTCCTTAATTCCAATGTTTCTTCTTGAAATTTAGAAGACAAAGCACTTTTCTGAGCTAAACTTAAAAGCAAACTAAGCCCTAAAGAAACATGGGAAAAAGAGAGTGGGTTATTTTTGCTACTTAGTTTTGTGTTTAGAATAGTGACGCCCTAATTCCTCTTGTCTGTCATAGAATCATAGAATGGCCTGGGTTGGAAGGGACATTAAAGATCATCCAGTTCAACCCCCTGCCATGGGCAGGGACACCTTGCACTACCCCAGGTTACTCAGAGCCCCTGGAATAACCTGGGGAACACTGCCAGGGATGGGGCATCCACAGCTTCTCTGGGCAACCTGTGACAGTGCCTCACCACCCTCCCAGGAAAGAAGTTTTTCCTAATATCTGATCTAAACCTACTCTCTTTCAGTGTGAAGCCAATCCCCTTTGTCCTGTAACTATACTACTGCCCTTGTAAATAATCTTGCCTCATCTTTCTTGTAGGCTCCCTTCAGGCCACTTTTAGACCACTCCAAAGCCTTCTCTTGGCTGAACAATCCCAATTCTCTCAGCTTTTTCTCATAGGAGAGGTGCTCCATCCCCCTGATTAACTTGGTGGCCTTCTCTGAACTTGCTCCAACAGGTCAATGTCCTCCCTTCAAGTGTCATTCAGGTAAAACCAATGTTAAACCTTAGTAATTCAGAGTATTATTCAGGACACATATCCCAGTTCATTCCTGTTTAATTTGTGATATCCCATGATTGTAGAAGTACTGCCCTTCCTGTTCTTTTCCTTCCCTTGCCCTGTCCCTCTCTCTCCTCTTTCCTTAATTCTTAGATTACCCTAATTCACCTCTTCCCTCAGGCAGTCCTTTGCTTGCAAATCTGCCAGTCAGACCAAGTCAAACTCTTCCTACAGTACTTCAGAGTCTTCAGTCCAACAGCTTCCATTCCCCTTCTCTGGTCTCTGTACTCCTCATGCAGTGCAGGGGGAATACTCACTGCCACTGCAGAGCATCAGAATAGAGGGATGTCTCTGAGAAGAAAGGTGGCATCAATTTTTCTGCCTTAGGCCAAGAATGCACCTGATCCAAAATACATCACTAGCAGTGGAAAGACTTCTGTCTGTTTCAGGGGTTTTAGGAAGGCTGTGAGGAACCTTTAGGGATGAGGGGGAATTGGATTTTGCCTTAAAATTTCTGCCCTCAGAGATTCTGGATTTTCAACAGGTGATTTTCTTTAGTGATTAAAAAGAACACTGATATAAACACAAATAAAAACAGGAGTTCACTAATACATTTGTCATACCCATTCCCTACCACCCCAGCCTACTGGGAGGTTCTGCTTACTGTTCCCCTATGGTTTTTTTTTTTTCTCTTTCCAATTTGAATGCTGCTCCTGAGATGACACAGATAACTACAAGTCTGCAGTGTTCTGTACCTACACTGATGCCATCTGCACGACACCTTTGATTATGACTAAAGATAAGCTCTAGAGGTCTGGCTTCACTTTTGCTAGGCCAGTTACTAACAACCAAGCTTGTAAGAGTTCTGGAGTTAGGCAAAGGGCAGATTTGCTGCAAAGAGAGGGAGGTGAAGCAGGATGGAAGAATCTACCCCCTGCTGGCTTTGAGCTCCATGGCTCTTGCCCTCTGAGCCCACTGCACAAGAAGAAGGATGTGTTTTCACAGGTGCAAGCATTGTGCTTATTATGGAGGGGAGTCTTTGTGTTCCCTGAAAAAATAACACAAAGTGTTTGAAATATACGCCGTGCATCTCCAGTGGGAATGGGGCAGACTTAGGCACCTACAGCCTTCTGTGGCTGACAGGAAACTCTGTTGTGCAGAGAGTGATAGGTCATGTTTGTTCTCAAACCTGTGAGGTTCTTTGTATGATGTCAACATCAATTGCAGACAAACATTTGAGGGTCAGAATTGGTGGACCAAACTGTAGCTATCTTTTCTTACATGTCTCTACAACATTCATGATTCACTAGTCTTTTTTGGCTTGAACAGAAGTCTAACTTGTACAAGTCATAAACCAACCTGCAATTACCAGAGCACCCATATGAAAACACCTTTCAAGAGAGAGCAGATTTCAGTTTGAAGCCTGGTTATTACACATAATAAGCCAAATTCTTCACTGACGTCAGTGTGGAAGGGGTGTGAGTCACCACTGAATTTGGACCAGTTTTAGTCGAGAAGATGGGACTGATAAAATGCACCTTGGCTCTGTCCTTTTAGTGCAAGTGAAATTTGCCCAAACACTCTTGCACTCACTGGAGTGAGTGGATGGGCCTGGGCATAATGAGAATGATCTTTTTTTCATCTGCATGTGCTTCCTATCACCAAACAAATGTGTGCTTGCTTTTTGAAGGAAAACCAACTATTTTGTGCAGCAAACTAGCTTTTAATAAGTGTTGAGTAACAGTGATGCTGCCTGCCTGCCTTACCTTTTATTACAGCAGGACCATCTCTTCAAGATGAGCTTTGCCATTAGCATCATCTTTTAAGTATAATACTTATCTTTTTTGATTAAGTCCTAGGCAGGTCTTGGGCACAAGCTGTTTGGTAGTGTGGCAGATTACCTTACTTGAACAAATAGTGATCCTGTGCCAGGCACTGCAGCATTCTTGGCAGGTAAAGCAATAATATGGCAGTCATCCTTCAACTTGTCAAATGGTTCCAGGTATGCTTGCAGGTGTCATCTGCAACTGCCTGAAATCATTTACTTTGCAATGACAAGGAGAGAAAAAAGAGCAGAGCTGGGACAGAGGAACAGAACAGAAAAGCTGTGTGTCTGTTGGTAAACAGCTTTATAGGATTATGTGCAACTTTTAGTGAGCATTATGAGCTATAGTTAGCTTAATTTCTACTGAAGTTGAAGGAGTGAATTTGTCTTTCTGCTAGCAATCCAGAAATCAAAAGTATTTCACTGACATTTTGCTGTGTAGTGTAAGAATTTGGATATAAAGAATGAAAAATAACAGACTGCTTGTCATTTGTCTGTTTTGAATGTTTGTCTTTTTGGTATTTTAACAGGTGTATTCCTTAACTCCTGACAGAACTGGGATCATTAAAAGTGAACAACAGACAGCAGTGCTTGAATCTCCCTGGTAAAGAAAGTGCAAAGCTTCACTTAGAAGTTCAATGAGAAAGAGTCAAAGTGGGATGATAAGTATGAATGATGATTCAACTGATGATGGATTGGCCCACACTGTGAAAATGAAGGGTGTTCAGCCCAGTTACTTAAAAGGCTTGGGTGTTAAGACTGGAGGTCTAGTACAGAACACTCTGCTCTTCATTGATCATAAGTGATGGAAAGTAAACATTGTTGCACAGTGGGTGGATCACATGAGAGACAGCAAGATTTGAGCTGCAAAATTCATAAAGCAAAAACACAAAACCCCAGAGCTTGGGCTGACAAAATTGGAATCCACAGTCTTGTAAAGCTAGTGTGACAGGCAAGCAGAGGAGCATCAAGACCTCTTTTGCACACTGCAAGTAAAGTCCCAAGCCTGGAATCTCTCTTGCACAGGGGAGCCCATGTTATATCCTAAAAGGACAAAGACACCTGTTTTGATATCTAATGTACTTGCTAGTGTTTTTCTTGCCCATCCCTTCCCACTTCCCAGGGATTCCAATTCAGTTTGTCAGCAATCTCAAAACACCCAAGTGAAGAGGAAGGGAAAAGCCTGCCTGGAGTGTGTGCTAACTCCTGAAGGTGTCACCCTGAAGGGGATGAAAAATGGATGAGTGATAGAGAGATCTCCTGAGTACACCAGGAGGCAAGAAGGGGAGACAGCAGAGCTTACCATTTCATGCAGCTGGGCTGAGTGTTTGGGAAGGCTGCACAGTGATCACAGGGTACACGAGACAGTGACCCCAATGAGCAGTACAGCAGTGCCAGTGCAGCTACGGGAGGTAAGTGGGGATGACTCAAGAGAGGAAGGGGAGGAGGAATATTTACTCTTTACGCTGTTTTTCAGTGTGAAACTCTGCAGTGGAGCAGTGCTGCTTTGCTGGAACACCTAGGAAAATAAACACTGTGACACCTTGTAAAATAACACTGATCTGCAGTCTTTTTGTTAGTCTGTACCTTCTGTGTGTAGTATGAGGGTAATAATGAAAGATTTTTTTTGCTGTATGAAATGGTAGAAGCATAAAGCAGTAAATTTTTCATTTAAGTCCTTACACCTGTCTCCTAAACCAGGCTAATAAAATGTATTGCATGTTTTATTTTAGTCAGGATTGCCCTAATGAATTCTTATCCTGATTCTTTAAAGTGACCCATGGGACTTGGACTTGACTGCAGTCTGCTGAGGACCAGCAGCACAATAGGAGACTGGTAAATGTGTAATATCACTTTTTTTTGTGAATTAATTTTGCAGTAGCATTACTGATGCTGTAAACTTTAGTCTATGATCTTTACAGAAATACACACAGCTGTTAAGAAAACCAGGAAGAAAAGTTGGAAAGTTTAGCTTCATGCTCTCACCATAGGCTGGAGGAAAATTTCAAAGTTAGGCTGTGGATTTTATTTGCTTTGAGATGACTTCTGCTAGATGTGGACCAGCTTTGAACTATGCCCAGCTGCTTTCTATTAAAAGTATTTTAAGACCATTTTGAAATTGCCTACACAGGAGGAGGATAAAATGACAGCAGTGCATCCTTCACAAGTTCAGTAACTGCTGACCATTCTCTTGGTGGTATGATAGGAAGGAAACTTCAGGGACCAAAAGAAGCTCAGCACTGAGGGCAGGCAGATTTTCTCACATGGAGGATGGATCTAGCCTAGTGCCCACCCCTAAATTGTCTCTGTGGGGCTGATCCTGCATTTTCTGTGTCAGGCTGCTGCAGGGTGGGTACCAGGCCTGGTGTCTGAGTGCCTTCCGTGAGCCATGGCCAGGGTGATCTGATGGGACAGTGCAGGGCAGGGGTCATCCCTGGTCATTCCTGTGTGATAGAAACCGCTTCTGTAGCACAGCTAAGCTGGAAGCTGTGTCTGAGCTGCTCTGACTCCTGTGCATGCTGGAATTGTAGTCTTAGTTACTGATTCATCTTTGTCCATCAGAGTTCATACAAAAATATGGTGTAGGCAGTAGAGGGAGTGTTTGGCTGGTGTGCTAGCTCCTCTGTACCAGCTATGAGAATGGAGCAGTGCCAAGGGGCACTCTTCTGCTTTTGGATTCCTACAGCTGCATTCCCTTCAGTGAACACACAAAAAAGGGGAGGGAAAAACTACTTAGGAACAGCATTTTTCCATCCCCCTTTCTTCATAGGATTTCTTCCAATTTACTAAACCACTTTCATCCTGTGATCTGCCCATTTTGTTAGGAGGTCTCCTTGCTGTTCAACACCTTCTTGGTGTTTGAAGTGCTCAGCTGACAATTCTGAGCAGTTTTTTGTTCATATGTTTACACTGTGATTTTTTCCAGACACACAGTATCAAACCTGTCAGAGTTTAAGGAGTGTCTGGTTGATGTTTAGTCATATGGTTAAGTTTTGGGCAGTCTTGCAAGGAGCAGATAATTGAAATCAATTATCCTTATAGGTCCCTTTCAGCTTGAGCTATTCTAATGCATTTGCAACCATAACGCCTGCAACATTCATATTTTTAATTGGGGATCCTGACAGTCTGTGTTGTCCTAAATGATGCAGAGGTGGGAGGAATATGGCTCAAGAAGGCAAATCGGTAAAATGCCCATGGCATGATCAGTATAAGGAAAGGCTGCAAAACCCTAATGGGACTTGGCATGGTGTTGATAAAGGGCTTCTAACTGAGGACAAACAGATGGACAGATCAGACAAGAACAGATCGTATCCTTCCCACACTACTACTGTCTCAGTCTTACTAAGTTTTGGCTTTGGATCTTGGCTTTGTCAAAATTTCCTTTGCAGTCTCCTGTGAAGATGCTTTCACATTTGCTAACCCATTTTCTCAGCCTGCAGGCTCACACTCTTTCCCACAAGGTTGGCTTCTCACCACCCACCCTTCTCCCTCTCGTGGTCTCTGATTTCCAGAGTAATCAGTAAATGTATCCTCTGCATGTGAATGCACACCCTTCAGAATATACCATGTGGCTCCTCTAGCCAGATGCACAGATCCGTGAAATACTGAATTCATTTTGTCCACGGATCACTTTACCTGAATAGGAACCAGAAATCCTGACAGCTTAGACATCTTAGGGCAGGAAACTCTGATCACAGGATTCAGGGGCATGGCTGGAAATTCTGTTTGTGGCAGTCTGTGTTGTTTCCCGCCTCAGTCTTTTTGCTGGGTGACAGGCTTGGAAAGGATTTGGATAGTGAAGCAGGGAACCACCCACAAACTCATCACTGACCACCTGGGAGAGGAGCAGGGGGGGCAGACTTGCCAGTGGATGTAGCCACCCTGCGCCCTTCCTGCTCTTTACCAGGCGTGCACAAACACCTGCAGAATCAGTGCTGAAGCACTGATTCTCACCCTGGCCAGTGGCATTTTACAGGCTTATCTGTGTGCACAAGCCAAACCTCTTCCTGCTGCCTTTTTGTTCCCCGAGGGGAGACAATGGAACAGTCCCACTGTTGCTTTTAAGTCGATAAGTCAAGAATTTCGGCCTGAGCCTTTGCTTCAAACGCTGATGTCATGAGCAACAAGCCAAGCAGCTTTTCTGAAATGATGACAAGGAAGCTGTGTGTATGGCTCGGCTCTTGGCAGGCAGATGGCGCCAGATGGGCGTTCGGCGTGGCAGAAAGCCTCCTCTGCAGGCTGGATCAGGGCAGCAGGATAAAACCACAGGCGGGACACACGGGAGTACGGGTGCTGTGCGTGCCCCACTGAATGGTTATCACACTGTGCTGCAGTGAAAATACACCCACAGCAAAGCTTTGGTATGGGGAGAGCTGGTTGTCCTGAGTATCAGCAGAGAATGTGGTTTCTAAAAATAGACGTGTGACAAAAATAAAGAAAAATCAACAAATATGTTTAGAATCATGGAATAGCTCAGGTTGGAAGGGGACCTTAAAAATCATCCACTTCAAATCTTTCACTAGACAGCTCAGAGCCCACGTCCTTCCTGTGGCCTTGAACACTGTCAAGGGTGGGATATCCACAGCTTCTCTGGGCAACCTGTTCCAGTGCCTCACCACCCTCACAGTAAAGAATGTCTCCATAATACCTAATCTAAACCTACTCTCTTTCAGTTTGAAGCCTTTTATACCTTGTCCTGACATTACATGCCCTAGTGAATATTTTCTCCCATCTCTCTTGTAGGCTCCCTTCCGGTACTGGGAACATGTAGGGAGATCGAATATAAGAACATAAAGATAGTGTAGAAAGTAATCTTACCCCTAAGGAGTTGCAGCTGGGCCAATTAGCAAAGATTAGGAGCAGGCCACAGCTGTAACCAGTAAGCTGTAACCTGAGACGAAGATGCTATAAAAGACTGGGGTGGCTGGGTGAGAGGAGAGTTCGGATCAGTGGCTGCTTTGTGAAGGACAAAGAGTGAGTGCTCTGAGGAACTGCCCACAAGAAACACCAAGAAGGTATGAAACTTTTGTGAGACAACAGTATGGGACCTCTGCAATAAGATGACAACAGGAACCTGTTTGGTTTTTTTTGGTTTTATTACCATGTGGAAGACATCCTTATCATGTCCCCATATTACTCTGCTACAAATGAGGGAGCATTTTCTTTACTAACTTTGATTCTACTATCATTATTGTGATCTTAGGTATATATCCCCATGGGACTTCAGGGAAGAAGAGCAGAAAGATGCTTTACAAATCCAAGCAACTGCCTGGAATTAAATCTCCAGGTCCTGGCAAAGTGAGGAGCTTGGGATTTGCTACTTCCCAGAGCTCCCTCTTTTTCTGCTGAGGTGAACAACTAAAGGAGGGCAGGCGACTCATTGTATAAGAAACAGAACTAAATCAGCTGGATCAAAGCATGATCAATCAAAGCATAAGAGAAAATTTTGAGTGCCCCTGAAGACTTTCACAAAATACCAAATTCTGATAGTAAAAACACAAAGGAGTGTATGAGAGGCCCAGTTTTGCACCGCTTTTTCTGGGAACTCGCAGATACAGGATAGGTGTCAAGTTATATTTGCAGCTGCAGCCTTCAAATGTCTTCTGTTCTTTCCAGATTCTCCAATTACTGAAGAATCTGTCCTCAAGATTTTTGCAACACACAGTGTCACTGTGAAGAACCAAGCACGCTGCAAGCATCAGGGTCCCTTCCAAGGCAAAGCCAAGGCCCAAAGTCACATCAAGGACAGTATGGAGGAGACAGAGGAAGAAAACATGGTGTTGGAGAAAGCCAGAACTGCATTAAAGCCAAAATCTTGGTGAGAAAATACAGTGGAGCCGTTGTGCTGAATCTGAAAAATCACTGTCTGCAGAGGAATGTTGTAATAGATAAAGGGCCAATGGCTTCAAGGGTGTGTTTGGATTAACATTAGGAAGAAATTCCATACTGTGAGGGTGGTGAGGCACTGTTTGTCCCAAGAAGCTGTGGTTGCTCCATCCCTGGAGCAACCTGGTCTAGTGGGAGATGTCCCTGCTCATGGCAGAGGATTGGAAGGAAATTATCTTGAGGTTTCTTCCAACCAAAACCATTCTGTGAAAAACTAATTTAGCTAGAAAACACTGCTGAACTATCTTCTGGGAGTTACAGTTCAGGTACCTGACCTAGTATAAAGTGTCTCTCTTTATTGCAGGGGGATTGGACTAGATGAGCTTTAAAAGTACCAGCTCAAACTATCCTGTGAGACCTTTTGTTCCTATATTTGATCCCTAATGGCAGCAAATTTCTAGTTCAATTCCCAAGGCCAGAGTGCATCACAGGATATGCAAGGCAAACAGCAAGTCTGGGCGATTGAAACATTTAAGAAAGAAAAGCATCAGTTTCAAGCAATATATATATAATTTTTCATCTAAAGCTTTGTATTTTTTGTCCAAACTTCCTATAGAAAAGGGAAGACGTTTCTGAGCTACTCTGTAATGCACGGCACCAAAGAGCTCATTTTCAGAGTAAGTGCAATAACTGAAATGTTTAAACATTTGAAGTGACCAAGTGAAGAAGGTGGCAAAGAGATAGTCTTTAGAAAAACGTTGTGATCATGAGTAAATATGAAGATACAGGTTGCCCCTCCCTGACTTCCTGCTATACATACTTATATTTCTTTATACTTAAAAATATAATGCATGCACACAATTTAGAGTCAATAAATTGAGATTGTTCTGTGCTAGTTTGAGTTCCCTCTGTGTAGAGCCTCTAAGAGAAGTATCTCACAAAAGTTGCTTGTGGCTTGTTATTCACAAGCAACAAGAGGCCAGAACATTCAGCACCTCTGGAAGTCACACCAATGGGTTTGGGTGTCTAATTTTGACTGCTTTTTCCTCAATTGGACCAGAACTGACTTGAACAAGTGGCTGATTTTGTTGTATCCATCAGATAGCAACCGTATGATCCATGCTTATCACAGCTTGTGCAGCACATGGGAGTGTTCCTATCAGCAGCAGCATCTGACTAACGAGACTGTTGCTCTTCTTTTTCTGCTAATATTTTGGTTCTTTCTTGGATTCTTTCCTCTGTCTCATTCAAAATGTTGGGATTTCTCATTAATTAAATTGCAATCACTCATGGTACTGTCCTGGTTTCTGCTGAGATAAAATTAATTTTATTCTTAGTAACTGGTACAACACTGTTTTGGATTTTGTAGCTAAGTAGTGTTTTCTCTTATTAAAGGACTACTCAGTTTCCCATGCTCTGCCAGTGAGCAGGTGCTCAACAAGCTGGGAGGGAGCATGGCCAGGACAGCTGGCCCAACGTGGCAGAGGGATATTCTTATAGACTATCATGTTCAGTATATAAACTGGGAAGAATTGGCTGGGGGCTGCCAGTCACTGCTTAGGGACAGGCTGGGCCTCAGAGGGTGATAAACCATTTCTTGGGTTTTATTTCTCTGTCTCTCTCTCTCCTTTTCATCTTGGCTTATCTCAGTCCAAAAGCAATGAAAAAATAAATTAGTGATCCCTATGTAACTATTGAAAAAGGACACAGAAATTCCCAGTTGGGAGGAATTAAGCATCTGTAAGCAGCAGAGATCAATGTGATTATGATGTTCTGAGGTGTAAGTAGCTTTGGTATTTAAGGTTCACATTGAGGTTCCCAAAGACCTTAATGTATGACAAATAATATAATTTGTCATATGTTATTGTGCTCATCAACCCTTTTAAAAGAAGAGAAAACTTCCATGAGATTCATGAAAGCTGCTTAAATTTTTAATACTAGATTTTTTTGTAGCAAAGAACCTGTGCCTAGTTTTGAACTGATCAAGATCACCAAAGGATCACTGATCAAAACACCAAAGGATTACAGTAGCCTCAGAAATGCTCAAATGGGCAGATTTTATTTTGTGCCAGTTACAGAGACTTCTTTCTCTATATGACTAAAGCATTTTACAAACAAAAGACTGTTAGATGCCATAAGTAAATAGCCCAAACTATTGATGGAATCCTGTAATAGATATTGAAGTGGGCCTTAGTAAATGCACATAATTCAGAAAAAAATGGCCAAGTATGGAAGACAGCATAACTAAAAAACCAGAGAATTCTATGTAGTAGATGAAAGCCTTGAGGTCAAATAGTTACTCAGATGGGAAAGCATTCATGCTCCCTTACATCAGAAGATAACAGAAAACCAATTTAAAGCCTGGAGCTATGATTCTTTTCCTCTTTGAAGACTTGCATTATCTCATATTAGGCTTAGGAGAGGAGAATATTCTCTGTCCATATGCACTGTATTCCTTATGACCCCTATGCTCAAGTGAGAGCTTTGTATAAAAGCCATTAGCATCAAGTTTGTTATGGCATGCTGCACTGGATGACTTTCCTGGTGCCAGAGGGAAGGTTGCTGCATTTTAGCTGAGAATTTCAGAGCAGAACTTGTATTTGGATACACAACTCTCTGTTCTTTTGATTGAAAACATACAGATTTTTTTAACGGTCCATCTTTTGCTCTTCTCATATATAATGGAGGCTGCTGCAAAGTGGGCTAAAGAGCAAATAGCAAGATACAACAATCTGTATTTTTTTAAATGACTAATAATCAGGGGTACTGTAATCTTTGGCAAATAAACTTGAATAGCGTTAATAGGATCTTGCAAGTCAGTAAGTACATTCCCTAATCCCAGTCCACATATCACCTGACTACTTCCCACAGGACTGTAGGAGGGATTTATTAAACAAGAAGAGACATAAGGGACTCAAAGTCATAGAAAACTGGTTGTTGGAAATGTACTGCAGAGCTCACCAGCCAGCTAGGAAGAGACAGAAGCAGACCTCTAATGCTAAACACCTCTTCTAAGCATATGTGGAAAATGAGTGGTGGGCAGTGCTCAGAGCAGATTCCAGATGATTCTGTGCCAGAATGTTTGAGGTTTGTAGGTTTGTTTTTTTTTAATTGCCTGCCTTGAAACAGTGTCTCCATTATGTGCCACGTTAGGAACCACATTGCTTTGCTGGACAGAATTTGCTCTGTGTTTACTAAGGCTCATTTTATCCCCAAAACCCTGCAGGTTTGGCATCCTGAGATGGGACCAGCTCTGTATTCACACCTACAAGCTGTGGACTCTCCTGCTGTCACAGAGCCTTCAGAACTGATGAAGGTGGTGGATTTTTTGACTCCAGCCTTGGCTTAGCCTGGCAGGGAACCAGACTGTGGAGATGCTCTGTCAGGATACACATTAGAAACATGAGTTGAAGACACCAAAAAGCAGAAAAAATGCGCCAAGATCCCTATCTCTAGTACCACTTACAGACAAATACTGCTTCTGAACCCAAGCCATGAGTGAAGCTGGTACAGGAGAAGCAGCACTGTTAGAGGAAGGAATTCTGGCAATATCACCATCAGGTAAGACCTGTGGTATCCATCTAGCTGGAGCTCCTATCTGTCAGCTCTTACTTTCTTTTGTTTTTAACATATACCACATTTTGTAAAGTTTTATCAAATTAATCTTCCACCAAAAAAAGCGTTTATCATCAAGCTTGGCTGGGTTTTGTTCATTTTTCAGAGGTTCTGAGAGGAGAGAGAGAGCAGCACAGAGTTGTGCAATCCTTGAGCCAAATTTAAATAATTCTGCCCTCCTTCTTGCTAAGGTGTCCCCTGAATGACTGTGTCAGGTATAATGGTGTACTAGTTGTTTTTTTCCACCACATGACTTCTTACATCACACCTCACATGTGGTTACAGAGGTCAGTGTTGGAAGATTCTCTGGCTCCTGACATGGATTCAGTATTCTGAGTTAGGACACTTGATGCTACAGTACACAAACCATCATGTCTGAAACAGCCATTTGCTGTAAATATGTGGTGTTACTGAGACAGAATTATAATCCTTTCAGGCCCTCAGTGAGCACTCAGCCTTCTGGAAGCAAAAGCTGAAGTAATATTAGCAGAGGTCATGCTTCAAGTACACTAATTATGTCTTGAGAATGAAAATGTGAATGAGAATGACCTGCCATGAAATTCCCAGCTACCTTACTAATTAATTAAGGTAGCAAAGTATTTAAGTCTTTGTTGTTTAGAACTTGTTTGCTTAATTATTAATTAGAAAATTCAGGCTTTTTGTCTAAGATACTCTCAGGTGACAAAGCATGGTTCTGGCTGTCCTCAGCAGCAGTAAGGCCAGCAGGAACAGGTGATTCATGAGTAGAGCAGAAGGACTTCCAGGTTTCACTGAGGAAATCTCATAAGGCAACATCCAGGTGGCCAATATGAAAAATGGTCATTTCTCTTCTGTCTCCACTTTGGAATTGCACAACCCATCCATTGGGCATGGCTTTGTTACTGTATCATCAAATAAACAGCAAAAAAATCCCAGAGAGACTGTAGGCTCCAGACAAACTCCTCTGGTGTGGCGTGGCAACATGAAGTACTGTACTGAAGAGTATGAGGAGTCCTGTAAGAAGTAGACATTATGCAAAAATTGCTTGTGGCAGAATTTGGACAGTAAAATCATCAAATGAGGCATTAAAGCTGCTTTTTCCTTTTTTTTGTTCTCATTCATGTATTGCATGAATGACTACACTTTTTTTGGCACGTTTTTTACAATATTTTAAAATATTCCTGTTCCACCCACCTCACCTGAGATTGTCCTGAGTAGGTGCTCATGAGAAAGCAATGGGTTGCATTGATGTTTTTCCTTGTGATTTCACAACTGTTGAAAGCAGAGCTGACAACATTTTAACCCTTACATGTAGTGCTTTCTGCTGCAATAGTCTGAAGGGTTCTTCTTACAGTCTCTGATGTGACTCAACAGGCTGAAGAATGGCTTTACCTTTCTGTGAAATCTCTCACACTCTTATTTTAATGTTTTGTTCTCTCTGTTTTCTTTTATTCCTGACTGCCCAGGTTTGATCTGACTGTGAGGCTGAAGAGCCACATGGTGGTTTGTGCTGGGACAGCACCATGCCTTTGCACATCTTTTCTGTGAGCTTCTGTGTTGCATCTTGTTAGAGCAAGAACCCTGCAATTAGTGTTTTCTTAGGCATCTGGTGAAATACAGCTGCAGGGTTTAGGGCCTGGAGCTGTCCTTTAGCCTTTATCACAAGCTGTCACTCTGGTTTCAGGGTTGACTATTGGAGAAAAGTCATGCAGATGTTCAGGTTCACAAAGTCCTGCATAACTGCTCAGTGCTTTTATGGCAAGCCTTTTTATACGTCATCCTCTGGTGATAGAGGGACTTCTGTGCACACAAAAGGTTTGTCAGCTGCACAACCCGGCCCCTCACAGGTGGAGCTGCAGTGCTCAACAAACCATAAAACTTTCGGGACGCTCTGTGATTCACCATGAGCAGCAGAATTTTTCAAGCATTGAACTACATTTCATGTTAGGTGAAGAGAAATCATTCTTGATTAAACCTTGAGTGACCTAGGGTCATAAAGACAGTGCTTGAGGTCCCAACACTGTCCTGTTTGAGGTACAATTTATATTGATGTGGAGGTTGATTTCATTTTTATAGATGCTAACAGCAATTTATATGCTTTCCTTTTTTTTTTTTTTTTTTTTTTTTATCCTAGACCGCTACGTGAGTGCAGGCTCCACAGGACCTTGCAAAATGAGCCTCACTCTAAGAAGGTACCTCTCAGTTTAAATTGGATGAGTTGATCTGTACCACACCAGCTGTTTTCCGTCAGCTTCCGAGATGATCAAACTAATGAATTGTAGCATGAGGTTATGTGGAATCTCCCAGGCCACGCCAACTGTGTGCACTTTGCTGGGGACAAAGGCCTGCCATTGCCTTTGCAGATTGAAATCTCCAGCATTGGTGTCCTTGAAACGTTTTTCTATTGGGCTGATTCCATACAAGTAGCTCCTGTAACCACAGACATCCCTGTTGTGCTCAAAGATGGGGATTGTTTCTGTTGCTGCCCAAGCCAGGAAGCAGAACTTCACAGTTGCAGTTTGCCACAGTGGTGTGGCAAAAAGAGGGAGGACAAGAACCATTCCCAGTCCTGACCCACAGCACCAAGAGATTTGCTTCTGACCTGTTTTCACATTACCCTCAAGAGAATCTGCAGAGATGTCCTTTACAACATTAACATGCAAGCTGCAGGTAGAGTGTGGAGAAAATTCCATCACCATGGGGTGCTGACAGGAGATACTCTTGTGCTGATGGAAATTACACACAATTTCTGCATCAGTACTAGGGTTAGGAAGGTTGGGGTTTTTTCTATTAAAAAAAAAACCAAAAATAGATGCTTCCAATTATACAACCCTTTATCCAAAAAAGGCCACGGGAGAATCCAGAATGTTTCCAATCAAGTGGAGAAAGACTCTGGTCAGAAAAGACTTTCCTTCTCCTTCATTGTGTTTCCCAACTCCCTCCTTCAAGTTAGCTGGAGCCTGGAGCAGCATGGCTCAGAGCCAAGGAATAAGGATGGTACTGCTGAGGCTTTGTTTACTGTGTTCAATGTGGAGGGAAAGGGTGAAGCAGTTATTGCTCCAGACACTCCCAGTGCTACCTTGTTTTTCATGTCATTATTTCAACAGGCAAATCCCCATAACAGCACTGACTCAACACTGTCTGTCCCCTCAGCAATCTGGTGACATCCTTTTCACTGCCAGTGGGTCAGTGCCAGCCAAGTGGAGGGAGGCTGGCTTGGTCCTCAGAGAGACTTCTATTGCTGTAATGATCTGCTAGGGTTACTGACCTTGTACTTATCATCCTTTCAGAGAATGCTTTTCAAAAGTAACAGCCTTATTTTTTCATCAGAAGGTAATTACACAGTACAAATTGGCCCTCAGGTTGCTCAGGGTAGAAAAAAATCAATGAAGGAAGTACTCTCCTAGATACACACAGACTTTGGAAGGGAAATATTTTTGCTCCAGAAAAGGACAGAGGGAGGGAGCCAAACAGAATAAAGTAGTGCTTAAATAGCTCATTATTTCTTAGCTTTCCCTGACCCCCCAGTAATCTGCAGCTGGCTGAAGGAGTCCCAGAACCATGGCCCTAGACCACAACTCAGGTGCAGAAGACACTGGGAGATGTATTATGGTGTCCTGCAATGTGATGTCAGTACTGGCACGTGGTTCACAGGCACAGAGTCGGTCTGCAGCAATAAATTCCCTGTCACAGGCCTGCTCCAGGGAGGAAATGCTTCTTCTGAGTCACTGTCTGCAATGGCACTGGGGACACTGACCCTCTGGGTTTCCAGGAGCAATGGAACATCTCCAGACACAGAGGTAAGCACAAGACTTGGGGTTAAGCTCAGGCTCCCTATGTGGCCATGGGTATGTCACTGACCTGCTTTGCACCTCAGGTGCTCACCTGGGGATTGGATACAAGAACACCTCCTCTTCTATCCCTTCCATTTGTTGGCAATCTCTTCAAGACCAGGCTTCCTTTTACTAGATGTGTATGTAGCCATAGCCCTTTATACAGGTGCTGCTTAAATTAAAATTCAGGACATGTGTGTGCTCAGAGGGGTGATATTACCATGTCTTGACACAACAGAAATTGGTGTTACAAGTCATTTTTCTTGTAGCACATTTCAGTCTGACTGGGATCTGTTCCCTAAATGAGAAGCAAAGAAATCTGTGGCACAGAGGAGTCTGTGTGACAGCCTTTCTGGACCAGAAGTCCCAGAAAGCACATTAAATTAAGCATTTAGAGGTGATCTTGTCAGGTAAATGTCATCTTCTTTGTTCAGTTGCTCCCTACCTGTGCCTAATCATCACATGGATGTCTAATCAGCAGTGCTCCCAAACATAACTGAGCATGGCCCAGCTAATCAAGGCAAAATGGTAAGTGATGCTTCTGCCCAGTCTGGGAACTGCAGAATGCAGGGACTCTAAATGGTGAGATCAAAGACAATGTTTTTGGATTGGCCTGTGCCTGGTGTAATGAACAATACAGTAATATAAAAATATATATATTAATGTATATTACTAGATTAGGCATCTATTTCTTCAGAAGCCTATCCACATACTGCTATGAGTCTTCTGATCTCATGAAGAGAAATGGACAACACATTAAGTTGACAGAATGAGTGGCACATTAAAAAGAGTAATGAGGTGTCAAATTGTGTATTTGTATTTCCCAATCAGCCTTTCCTGATGGATTAGACCATAGGTGTGTTACTTTGGCTACATGTGCAGCTGAGAAAAAGCACTTCCAGTTACATGGCTGTAGTTGTGTTCTTGTATGGAAGTGCCTGGATTCTACAGAGCCTGAAATTACTTCAGTAACTTCCATGCATGTAGGCAAGTGTAAGAGTTGTAAATGGGAGAAAGGTTGGCTCTGCCTTGCACTGCATTCCTTTGATAATAGCCTACCTGTCTTTAGGCAGGACCAGCAGGACATAGATGTGAACCGATTTCCTAGTCTTAATTATAAATGGCAAGTCACAAGGTTTATTTGCATAAACCTGAGAGATGGTAGAAAAAGTCTGAAGGAGAATGAGGAGATAAGCTCTTTTCTGAGAATAAGGTCTCATGAAAGAATTTTGCCATACAGTGCTACATTTACAATCCAGGGGATTTACCTGATGAGGTCCCATGTCAATGCAACAAGAAGTATTAAGTACTTCAAGAAATGTGTTTAAATACAGGCTGAAAATGGAAGATTTGCAGTGGACAGTGGAAATTAAATTGTACATGCAGTTCCCCTTGATTTCCCCTGAGCACTCTGTAGGCTATTTATGCCTCAGAGCAACACCAGCAGAGCAATATCCCTCCCTCTACAAGATCACCTGCTTTGGTTTATAATTGGGTGTAATTTAATCATGCGTTTCTAAAGTGCTTTGGGAGCCAAATATCCGAAAACACTTTACAATTCAATGGCATTAGTGAGACAATACATTGATACATCCTTGTGGAGCAAAAGTCTGACACCTCAGCTACAGCCAAAGAAACAAAGAAATTAATTGCTTGCGTAGAGTTGCATAGCAGATTAATGGGAGAATGAGATTTCCAATTCCTTCTCCTCTTGCTTTTCAGTTTATGTTTATGTGTTGAGACAGGTATGCTGGTCAGATGCCAAGAGAAATGTGGTGTATTATTCATTCTTCCTACTCCCTGGGTTTTCCCTGATGGGAAGTAAGGTCCAGGTCATGAAATGTCATACCCAAGCTCTTTAGGATTTGTACTTATGCACAAGAAGACTCAGTGTGCTGATGGTGCTGGCTCTGGTTGCATGTTTGTGTGTGCAGTGGGAAGCAGCCTGCAGTCACTGTCCCCAGCAGCATTTTGGCTTCAAGATGGAGTATCCTGGGAAGGACAGTGCTTCCTGCTTCATGGCCCCACTGAGGAGCCACAGCATGTGGCAACAGCTGTGCCCTGAGCTGGGCACCATCAGTGACCCCAGTACAGGGGCACCCTTAGCAGCGCCTCCAAGCCTAGAATGTGGCTCAGCTCAACAAGAAGCACCTGCCCATTGATGAGCCCTACAACCTGAAGCTGCAAGCTGATCATCTGTGGTGGGTCAGGTGTGCAGCCACTGGGACTTGTTGGGGGTGATTCCCTGCAGGCTGAGGAACCGTGAGATTTCATGTCTGAATGCAGTTCACACCCTGCTGTTTTCCAGGACAAACACACTTGCTGGGACTGGCACTGTGGATCTCACTCCTCTGGGCTCTCTCTCTTGTCCAGAGGAAGGAGTTTCTCAGGCTGTAGGTGCTGGAGCTGCAAGGGCTACATTGTAGGAACTTGCCTTCATATCCAAAAAATACAGACTAGCTGTGTCTTCCTTTGAAGTCCCTGTGATTTATCTTCTGTTGTTTTAAGGCAGTCTTGTATCCCTTAAAACGGCTTATTTTGGCCAGCAGTCCTCATGAATTCCCTAAAATGGCTCAGAAGCAAACATGGCCAGTTCTCAGTCTCTAACCAGGCTTGCTCTGCATCCATGGCATACTTAGCACTTCCCAGCTGTCCATGGATGCACTCTGACAATAGCCTTGTGCTTTTTTTGCACAGACATTGCACTGGGTACTTCTGTTCTCTTCCTTTGTAAAATGGAAGGATTTTGCCAACATTGTATGACAGCTAGTAAGGTTTCCAAGACAAAAAGAGGAAGCAAATCAAATATTACATATCCCACTCTCCCTTGCCTCTTGTTGAAACCAGTGAATCTCTAAATCAGGTTGTGACACAGAGCTTAGTTCCGGCTGGCTCAAGTTGGTGGTGTGAGCATGGACTCTTCCAGGTTCATAGGGTGAGGTTTTGCAAACATGTTTTAGAGACAGGCCCTGGTGCCTCAGGCCTGTTAGTGTCCTCTTAAAGGGGACAAGAGAGGCTGCCAGGCACAGCTTGAAATGAAACTGATACAGCACCAATAATGAGGAACTATATTTGGAAAGATCTTTCAGGGCTATTTTTGTCTGAGATCATTACTTCTGGACAGTCTGCTGACAACTGCTGGGCACACAAACACACCCCACCCAGGGTTTGGTTCTCTCTGCTAATGTGGAAGTAGCTCACAGGGGGTCAGCGGAGGGAAAGGATGCTCACACTGTGTTTCCTGCTCTGATTTTCAAACTGATCTGTGCTTGTGTGTACAATACACACAACACCTCTTCACCAAGCCAGCAACTGCCCACTCAAAAGACTGGAAGCAATTCTCTACCATTTTTCTAAAAATTCCTGTTGTTACCATGTGTCCTACTTCCCATGCACCCTGGTATACTCCTCCCTGCAGCCACAGCTGGGGCACACCTTTCCTGTCCCTAAAATCAGTGGGAGCTTTCTCTGTTCCCAGCCAGGCTGATGCAAGGAATCCTGGCAGTGCTTCACCCTGCTCAGGGAAGGCAGGAAGGCCTGGGGGGCACGAGAACAGCTCCCTATCCCCTCAGAGATCTGCTTGCTGGGTGGCACTTATCTTCTGCCCTCCCACACTGGCTTGTTGAGCTGAGCACGGGTACAAAAGGAACACACCTCTTCAAAGTTATTCAAAGCAGCAGAGCTGGCTGGGGAGTGAGGCTTGCAAAAGCGCTGTATGGGTGAGGTGCTGATTTATACCCAGGTTCCTCAATGGGAGCCTATGTCTGAGAGCTCCTGGGGCTCCTCCTTGTCTTGACCTGGGAAGTTTCTGGGTAGGGTCTCTCTGCTGCCAGATATTTGCAGCTGAGGTGGAAATCAAGAGTCAGAATAAGAAACTGTAGAACTGACTTTAGCAGATGAGGCATTCCTGTCAAATCCAGCTTAACTGCAGATTTGTTTTTATTCTTTTAGGAACTACATTCTTGATAATTTTAGTTCTGGAAGAAAGGTAGTTACTGCCTGGAGTTGGGCACTGTAGGCTGGAAGGCATCATGCCTCATGTGGAAACAAGCACTCTTCATTAGGAAATGAGCCCATTCAGACCAGGACTTACAAGATTCTCTTTAGGGACATTTTTCAGAGACTTTCAGTGGTCTGTACCTGCTGACAGGCTGTCCTATGGGAAAGGAGTAAGGACTGACCTAAGGGCAGAGCAAATCTGCTGATTTGAGTGTGAAGAGTAGCTGATTTCGGTGTTGATTCCACAGAGACTAAGCCTCTATCTCAGCACCTCTTAATATATTGTGGTGTGTTTGCCTCAGCTGGACACCTGGTGCAGACCAAAGCCATTTTATCACTACCCTCCCACAGCTGGACAGGAGAGAGAAAATTTAACAAAAGGCTTATGAAGCAAGCTAAGGACAGGGAGATCACTTACCAATTACTGTCACATGCAAAACACACTCAGCTTGGGGAATTTATTACCAATCAAATCAGAATAGGGTAAGGAAAGTAAACTGCTAAATTTTAAAACATCTTTCCCCTACTCCTCCCTTCTTCCTGGGCTTAACTTTATTTCAGAATTCTTTACTTCCTTTATCCACTGGTGCAGGTGGATGGGGAATGGGGTCTGTGGTCTGTTCATCATGCCTTATCTTTGCCCCTCTCTCCTCTGCTCTCACATATTCTCGCTCCCCTCTTTAGCTGCAGTTGCTGTTGCAGTTTTCTTCCCCTTCTCAAAAGTGTTGGCACAGAGGCACTTGGACCCATTGCTTCTGCTGGACAGAAGGGAAGATTCCAGCAGCCTCTCACAGAAGCCACCCCTGCAGTCCCCTCCTGCCACCAAAGCCTTGCCACACAAACCCAGTACTTATGTACTCTTCTATTTCTCTTCTTTAATTGCACTCTTCTGCTTAGCCATGTTTTTCAGTTTTAGCCGTTTCATAATATTTACAAAAACAAATAGGGCATTGCACCACCTCAATGAAACACAGCAGCAGCTCTGCTGCTCTTGGAGCTCAGAAGGGGTAAATATAATGAATTTTCCTCAGGCTGGGAGGGGGCAGGTTGCAAAGAGCACAAAGACTGTTAAACCCAAAGTAAATTATTCAGAATGGTGCTGAAGTGAACAAGGGGAATGGGAGTGAAAATGAGAACTCCCTAAATCTGAACTGTCACTTCCTACAAAAACTGCGACCAGAGTTTTTCCTCTATACAGTGGAAAGCCTTATAGAGCTTTAAAACCTTTAAAAATTTTATGAAGCTTTTTATCCATAACTTTTTGAGACTTGCACTCAAAACATAGGGTTGACTGCACTAATTGTGGCACTTAGTCCTTTTCTTTTCTTTAAAAAAAGATGGACACAGGGACAGGAAATTTGCAGAAGTTGAAACATAAGATATAATTAGTGGAACTAGCTGTGCCTGGTCTGGCATGCAGAACAGCATTGTTGTGGCTGTGTAGTTTGTCTTCATGTGGCTCAAAATGCAGCTGCCCTTGGCTTCTCTGAGGGTCAGTTAGACCAGGTGGTAGAGTGGGAATTCTGCTCAGCAGGGGCACGTCCAGTGTTTTCATCTTCCTTCCCTCTAAGTGATTTTGTACTGTAGGATGTCAAAGGTGATATTTCTAATACCCTCTGCTATTGTATCTTAATGGTAATAAAAGGAGCCAAAGATTGGAGAGAATCCTGCTTCCAAGTTCAAGAAGAGACTTGGATTCTGCCTCCTTTTCTCCAGATAGCCCAGCAGGAGCTCCATGGTATTTTAGGCTTCTTTATGTGAGATTGCATGTAAACACAGAGTAAGCAATAAATCTGAAGCACTTCAATCCTTGCAATACCAAGTAAATAGAGCTTTGCACATGAGGAGTCACTTTGTAAAAGAGCTGGCCACAGAAAGTGCAGAAACTTTACTACTGTGGCCATGCCTAAATAAGGGATTACAGAAAATCTGAACCACTGAACAGGCTGACAGATAGATCAATAAAAATATACATTGGTGCTGGTTCTTTTAATGTAGACTAAAATCTTCCAGGAGCCAGTTCTGGAATAAAAATACAGCAGTGGTGAGTGACCCAGACACACTCAGTCTGAGAATATTGTATCACTTTTGTTCCATCTGGAGCTAGGAAGGAGGTATGAGGAAACAGGATGCTCCTCCCAGCAGGCCTCTAAGATTTTAAAAGGAATTGTAAAAGACAAAATAAAAGGAAGAGGAGAGAATCACTCCCTTTTGCCTCCTGTTAACCCCTTTAGGCTGCCCTGAAGATAATTTGGTTGTATTTCTGTCTGGTACTGATTAGTTCTCACATCAGGAAGGGGAGTATGAAGGAGTCTCCATTAAACCTGCAAGCAGATCCATTTAACTGACTGGGAGCACTCACACCCACTGGGTTTCTATGCTATAAATCCTTGGAACCTGTTCCACTGGTGACAGATGGCCTGGTTCAGGATTAATGAAACAAAATATCTGTGCCACTGCATCAAACAGCTGAAGAAGCTGGCATGAGATCCCCAGCCAGAGAAAAGTGTGCAGACTCCTCCACTCCTTTCCTCCTGGAAATGTTTCCTGGGGTGAGAGGAGAGAGAGGTTTGGCCATAAGTCTGGGAATTGCTGGCAGTGAGCAGTCTTCCTGGAGCAGCGCTGTGCTGCAAGCTCCCTTCTCCCTGGAAGTGTGGACAAATGGCTACTGTCTGTGGGACTGGCTGGAGCAGCAAGGGACGAGCTTGCTCCTGAGACTGGCATCCCAGGGCAGCCAGGATGTGGTGTGACACCAGCCCAGTGCCTGGCTGGTTTGGGTTGGATTTGCTCTGTAGGGTGCACGTGGGTGTTTCGAGGGTTCCCCAGGTAGGAATGCTGTGGCTGACTGTGGCAGTCAGCTTTAGTGGGGTGCTGAGCAGCTCCAGCACAGTTTGTGCTGGAGGGTGTAACAGTGGCACAAAGCTACCCACCACAGAGGGACCTCATATTCCGTGCTGAACCAGTGACAGAAACAGAAAATGAGCAAGGAGACGTTGTATCTGCACAGTAAAAATACTGAGTAAATTAATATTTTTAATTGCTGTTACACACAGAAGAAATGAGAAAAAAATTACATTCCAAACAAAGAATAGTAAAATCAGCATAAAAATGTGTTAAGAAAAGATCCCAGATCAAGTGGCTGTACTGCATGTGGTGACCTTTACAATCACAGTAAAGAAAGTAAGTGCTAGACACTTTCAGACATGGCAAAGTGCTTGATTGCCCAGAGGAGAGCAGCTGCTTCAGTCACATTTTCAGTGCACTCTGCCTGGAATGTGTGGGAGAGGGGCTGGAGCAAGAGACTCACATGGGTCCAAGACACAGAGATTAGTGTTCAAGGCAGACCAGCCACTCTGCATTCTCAGGCAGGCAGAACTGCTACTTACCCCGTGGCATTTGCTTTCTCCTTCCTTGTTTGTTTGTTTGGTTGTTTTTTTTTTTTCTTGTCGTTTTGGGGTTTTATTCTTGGGTTTTTTTGCTGCTTTCTAGTTTTTGAGTTTTATTTAACAAAGCTTCAGGTTCTGCTGGCCTGACCCTGCCAGCACCACAGGCTTGGAGCAAGCCTCCCCAGCTGAATTAGGAGCAAGGCTTGGTCCAGCAGGAACCTGCACCAGCAGGGTCTAGATTAAAATGTTTGCAGTGATTCAGCACCATCGCCCAACGGGCTGGTTTTGGTTTCTTGCTTCTCTTCTGTCAGGAAAAGGTGTCTTTTATTTCCTTATGCTCTGTCTTTTGACTGATCCAAATTGGCCCAGTCATGCTCCCACTGAAGTCTTAGGGGCTCAACATCTGCATCTTGTGCTTCAGCCTCACTTTTGAGCCATCACACCACTCCAGTAGCTCACCCGACAGCAGCATAGAGTCACCACAGAAACAATACAGACCACAGAAGTTTTGGCATTCCTGCCAACTGGCCACTTTTTTTCCATTTGTAGTCTGTCTAGAGTTGTGTATTTTTATTCTTTACAGTAAGAACAAAAATAAAAATAACATTAAGAAAATTTTCTCCAAACTAAGAAAATGAAAACCCATCAAATATTTTAAAGAAACCATAAAAATTTGCATTGTGTTTGCTTCTGAGTTCATATTAAGATTTTACTGCAGCTGCTTCAAAATAATGGTCCATTTCACAAGTACACAGCTCACATTCCTTGGTGTGTAATTCCTTGCCTTCATTTGTGTTTGTACAGCAGCTAGTGCTACAAAAACTAGGTAGTTTCTAGCTGTGGTCCAGATTTAGATCAGTGAACAGTGGCATTTAGTTGAGAACACGGTGATGGTTGAGAGCTGTATTTCTAGATCAACTTTTGCTCTGGGCCAAGGGACTGGTGGTACAAGCACTTCCTTTGCTACAAAACCCACTGCTACTTTCATTTGGATTAAAAAAATGAATCCAAGAAGGATGTGCTTACTTATTGATTCCATCCAGGCTTTCTCTCTCTGCTGATTTTAAAGTCAGTGAAACTTAGAATCAGAGAAATTAAACATCACTTTGAAAGCTGTCTCATGAAACCCAGCTGACCTTCTGCAGACTGAAGGTTGAACAGAATTACTTCATTTTCTGTTCCAGCTTTTTGAAAAGCCACAGCAGACTGTGAGGCACTCTGTTTTGGCTGGATTATATTTACTATAGCTAACAGTGAGGGACAAGACCGGACTGCAAAAGTTGGATGCAAGGTTCACAGCTAAGAATTTGGTCAAGGCATTTAGAAGAACTAAAAATCATCTGCAAAACTGAAATTAGAGAGTTCAGATTTTTCAGCTGAACCTCCCTCATAGTTCAAGTGAGCTGAGCCCATCCTGTTTACCAGCATGAACAAATATTTTGCAATTTTTTCCTATCTGATGCAATTTGAAAAGGCAGTCACACATTCCATGTTTTAAGAGAAATCCTGCAGATCCCTAAAAGCAATTTTAACATTAAAGCTGGATAATACTTGTGACTTACATAGCACTTGACATCTTCAAAGGGCTGTATGAGCATCAATGCTCACGATATCCTTGGGAGGCAGGTAAGGGGCAATATCTCCATTTTAGAACGGGGTGAGAGCCTGGTTTGCTGCTGGGATAACTTGGCATTGCCCTGTCCTCATACACCACAGTGCTCCTGGCCCCAGAAAATTTAAGTGACTCACCCAAGACCACAAAAGGAGTGAACATGGATAAAAGGCAGGAGGATTTCTGTCATGAGAAGTCAGCAACTTCCCATCCACTTCCAAGAACACAGTTATGATGCCTCTGCTTAAAAGACCCCTTGTCTGTATTCAGAAACCAAGCAAAGAGAAAGAGGCGCCTCCTACTGAGATCTACAGTTGCTGTTTGCTTTGATCTGCTTCTTCCAGAACAGCTCCCAAAAATACCACAATAGCAAGATGAAAATGGTGCTAGTGTCAAACTACAAGTCTGAAAAACTTTGAAGAACCACCAAAAACTGCCAAGTTCCTCCTGGGAGTTTTATAAACTTCTGTTAAAATATATAAATTGCCTCCACTGATGACAACATGAAACCTTCAAGCAATCTACTCAAAAGCCATGTTAGAGTAATCCCAAAACCAGTCAGTCTGACAGATGCCTCAATATGGAGGAGTAAGAAGCCACGTATCCAGCACAGAGTAAGAGTAAAGCTTGAAGTTAAAATCCTCTGGCTTTGTTTTTCTTGACCTGCCATTTCTACATGAGCATCACCCTGTGACACAGCATTACCAGCACTTACAAACAAGTTGCAATTAGCACTGCTTCTCTGACTGATCCTGGGAGTTCTGTGCAAGGAGGATCTGCCTACAGAAAGAGGCTGAAGTAAACATGCTGCATCTTTTATATGTCCAATTAAAGAGCCAAAGGACCTCCAAGAGGCTGATAACTACAGAAAGTAACCAAACCAAAGTAAGCTGAAGTGACCACAGACAGGGTTTGCAGAAGGATGTTTGGATACATCAGTGTGAAAAGAAAGCTTCTGTGCTTAGCAACAAAAGGAGCTGCTGCTGGGGCCAGGAACACTACAGCTCCTGGAAGGCTTCATTCCCTCTGTAATGCTCCTGGGCCAAGGACTGGGTGCTTGTCAAGGACTGTACTCCTGAAAAGGAGAGGAATGGATTGAACCTCAGTTTTACAGCGCAAAGAGGCAACAGGAGGGTCCACAAAGGCAGCCCCACAGACAGTAACACCATTTGTCACATATGAACACCACTCCTTTTTTTGCTCTCTTTCAAAGTGAAGATTGCCCTCACTGGGGCTGAGGGAACAGTTTTAATCCCAGGAAAAGTTATTTAACAGACTGCCAGCAACTGCTTAGTGCTTCTCAGGATTTAGGCATCTCAAAATTGTGTCAGATCACAGTCCACAGCAGCTGGTCTCTTCCAGCAGGAAAGAGTCTCCAGGGAAATGGTCTCATTCAAGTAATATGGATTAGAAAGAGGAATGCAGAGCCAGAAAGAGATTTTGAAGATTAAGAGCCTTTGCCAGCAAACCTCAAGCCAACCAGGGCTCTCCTTTGTATGCTGAGGGCTCTGTCTCATGTTCCTGGGAAGGCTGAAGCTGTTGCAGCAGCGGGATGGAGCCAGTGTGACTGGCCAATGTGTCCCAGCCAGGTCACTCCAGGTGACCTGTTCCAGGGCAGCCAGGGAACAACAGCCCACTTGGGCTGCACAAGTTTCTGCTGTCCCCCTCTGCCACCAGAAACTGCACCTCTGATGGCCAGTGGAGAGGAGAGGCCTCCTAATAACACATCAAGACTCTTTTCTGCAGGTACCCAGTGGCTGATGGTACAGCAGGACAGCAAAGCCAGCCGAGAAGAAAAAGCACACAGAAAAGCAACTCAGCTATTTTCAGGCAGTTCAAGACTACTTGTTTCTAGAGAGGGGAAAAAGAGAATCAAAACTCAAGACTTTTAAATAAAGCTTACTTTATCACACAAGCACTTCCCTCAAAGCAAAGGGAAGCTCAGGATGTGGGGGAGCTCCTCTGAAGAACTGCCAGCTAAGGACTGAGTCTGCTGACCCATGCCAAGGAGCTGGGATTCAAAGACTGCAGTGTGCTGTTTGCTCACATGCTGGGAGGATGGTGGGGTTCACCCCAAATGCTTAGACTGCCTCTCAGCTGGGTCACTTTTTTGCTGGAGGAGATTTGCAAACAGCCAAGCTGAGCTACAGCAGGTGACATCTGCAGAGAGCTGCACTGCAGGGTTCAATCTGTGGCCAGGAGATAAGCAATGCTGATGAATGAAAATGGTGTGTGGCTCTGCATTCCCTTAGCTGTTTACTCCAGGCAGGCCCCCATGTGCCAGTGAATGAATTACATATTACAGTATTACATAACAGCATTAAAGGGAAGGGATTACACGGGGCTCTGCTACCTACAGGAAGGCTTTCCCTGTCCATAATGCAGCTGACCTTTCTGATCCCTGTCTGAAAAGCAGCAGATGCCCCCACAGGGTCAGGATGTTAACCCAGATTTCTGTAATACTGGCTGCGTTTACTCTGATAGAGAAGTCATGGGAAGGCAATGCCTCTTCCCTGCCAGGCACACCAGGTGAGGCTGGAGAGGAGCAGGAGACCCACACAGCATCTCTCAACACAAGGGAAAAGCTAGCAGGGGTCTATGTGAGTTCATGTGACTTTGAGAAGGAAGTGGCAGGCGTGTTGAACACAAAGGACAGTGCTTTTCAGGAAGCTCTGCTGAAAAGGGGCTTTCTCACAAAAAAAGAAGTGGTGCAAAGAGGATCGTTTTCCACCAGCTGGCAAAATGTGGCAATCTACATCCAAAATCAGGGCCTTGATCTCAGGCAATGCTCACACAAAGATTTAAGATAATGCAGGCACCAGTGCTAAAAGTACTACTGGAAGTGCTACTAAAACGTAATGGGTACATGGAATACTACTTGTTGGACATTG